GAGTGCTAAATTCCAAACAACAGCTAGATAAGCTTCGAAAACTATAGCTGGGAGCAATATGATTATAGATGATAAAGAAGGCTCAGTGAACGTAAGATCGAAAATCAGCACCAAAGAAACCAGAAAGGCTATGAGAAATAGATAATAGCCCAGACGAAGAAGGGTTATGTAAAACCAAGTAAGAAACGGTCTTTTCAATGATTTCACGGCCCTTGATAGAAGTTCCTTGATAGACATGTCTTTCCCACAATAGGTTACTGCCGATGCTAAGATTGAAGCTGTTGCAAAGAACAAAGAGGAAAAACAGAATGCGATAACAAAAATCCACTCTAGTCCAACAAATAATCGGAGGTCGCCTTTCAAACTACTCAGAAGGTTTGCGAATTCCGGGGTGCCGGGAGACGTAGCTGGTAGAAGCCTTGCCTTGAGGGAAAAATCAGTGATTGGTGGTTTAATGGACAACATACAACTCAAAAAGAGGATAGAGCTAAGAGAAATTATGAGCAGGAAGATGCAAGACATGAGCTTAACATTTCTGAAGAAAAGTTTCTGCGATTCCTTCAAAGTTCCCACCAATTCCAGAAGCATAAAAGACCCCATCATGAAGAAGAAAGAAAAAAATTGATGTTCTTCAAAGCTTTTAATATTTTCTTGCATTGTAAAAGAGCACAAAGGCATAGCCTATTTATATTATGACTGTTACTATGATTTTCTGACTACGTCTCGTCTTCTCCATTCCGTACAGAAAACTCAATACAATTGACCTTATCAGCATGAAAGAGTCAAACATTGCCTATTCTTCCTTTCTTGAAAGCTACGTTAAAATCCAAGAAAATTTGACACAGCCAATCCACACAAATGCTCAGTAGAAGAATAGACCCGGCGCAATTAATTAATTATGTGTTTCTTACGTTGTCCCATTTCACTTGAGAAATCCACATATGACCTGCTAGAGATTAGTTTGAATGGATAAAAATTAAAACAGTGAGAAGGCTGTAAATTTGAGATGGGTAAAAGTCATATGACCAATCTATGATTGAAGTTTTTTTTTTTTTTTGGATTG